CTTTCGAATGAACTTCCTTCCGGCTGCATGCAAGGTCTACACTCTGTAAAAAAATGACTGCTTATTTAGCATGCATTTTTCTTATTGATTTTCGATGCACCTAAAAGTCCAATTATATTTCATGGAAAACATGCATAAAAATATTCATTCTTTTGCTCATTCGGTAGATAACTACGTCTTCTTCTAATTTTATACTCGAAGGAGTGACATACTTCGGTTTGAAAAGAGTTTCTAATTGTAGGACTTTTAAATACCGGGAAATAGCCGTTCATGAAACCTCATGTCTCTTTATTTACCAATGTGGCTTGTAAAGTTAACAAATTAGTCAAATCTACTGCTAAATTTTATGAACCCTGTATGGTCTCCCCTTATTACCGCAGAGAAATGTGTGGTTTTCCGTACGCGGAAAATATAGGGTTTGTAGTTTGGAAACCCTGAATGCAAGTGCGACGGCAGAGCGGATTCAAAATTATTCGAGGATTGGAAAATTTTTTGAAAACCGAATTATACCCTTCCTTCGGGTATAAACCAGGAAGAGGACGTAATTTTCTACCGAATTGGCAAAAGAATGAATATTTTTGTGCATGTTTTCCATGAAATATAATTGGACTTTTAGGTGCATCGAAAAAAATAAGAAAAATGCATGCTAAATAAGCAGTCATTTTTTACAGAGTGTAGTTTTTGCATGTAGCCTGAAGGAAGTTCATTCGAAAGCCGGCATCCTGAGGTAACTGACATATTATAAAATTATGTTGCAGCCTGATTAGTTTTACAACCCTATTTAATTAATCTTTTCGAAACGAAAACGCATTTCGGAATTTCGGTTGACATTTCACGCGTTAGCCCACCTACTGTACACACTCAGATTAATGCCTGACTCAGCGACCGCTCCAAAAGCTCGATCATTGGAATTTTGGTGGGGAGTGTGGGATCGACCAGTAGGAAGGCTGATAGGAAAATGTGCCAGATAGACCCTGGCTACTAAGTAGCAGAGCGAGGTACGTAAAATTAAATTTGTCGGAATGTCAGAGACCAATCCGGACTTGTGGGAGTCATGGACTGCTGGGTAAACGGCCTTTGTATACGCGTGTCGCAGCCCAACTTGCTCCTATTTTATGACTGAGCAGACCTCCTTGGCATCAGGTCTTCGTGCACGAAAAACGTCACAGTTGGTTTAACCTGCCAGTAGAAGAGATTAGCGGGGTGGGCCGGATGTGCTGGGCACAAATGAGAGCTAGGTGCCAGCCCGGAAACAAGCTGGACGTCAAAATCGTGCTTGTCATAATAGCAAGGACCGCCGATTGCCTGGAATACCTATACCCCCTGCGGCAGTCCAACTGCCGCGGACAACGATGTTCGCCATGCGTCCAACAGCAAGGGAGACTTGCGCAGCATCTAACGCACTCTGTCCTCCCCTCATTCATCTAAGCCCCGTGCCTTCATTGAGCCAAGAAGACCGAGGTTGGAATCAGGGACAGCGGATGAAAAAGCTAAACAGTCGTCACACGTCTTATCGGCGCACGATGAACAAGCTTTTTATAGAAACAACAAGGAGTCGACTATTCTCCCAAATGTGTAGGAGTGGTCTCTGTCTTGAGAGGAGGATCAGGTTATGTCGACTGTTGGCGGCCTTTAAAGCTCCCGCTTTTAGCGTGTTGTAATAGTTCTAGGGCATGCCAGTTTGTTCGCAGTGAGGAATATGCGCTGAAGTGTGCTGGTGGGATGGAGTCCCCAGAGTTGGCCTCAGTCTCTTTTCCCTCGCCGTGCACCAGCCGTTTTTCTGAGCCGGTCAGTCGGCTGATGCGGTGATCGGACGCAAGTCACTGGCAGGGATTTATAACCCGTCCACGCATACCACACATGATGTTACCGCCTCCCCCCACCCTAACTAGATTTTCACACATAGGGTATGGACGGCCCAGATTTTACGTACGTTATCTTACCGTAGCGGCAACACGGTGAAGGAGCCAAGAACACACTCATCACTTACGTGATAGGTGCCTATTTCGTGTGTGGTAGATGATGGGGAGTGGACTCGTACATGGTGTACGTATTGGTGGAAAAATGCGCGAAGATGGAGTCTGGCCTGCGACATTCTACAGCAGGATTTTAAGGAGGCACATATGGCCGAGTAGGCCCATGGAGTAATGGAATGTCCGTGGGCACTGCGGCACTTAAGGCCTGTGCAACGGGCGTATTTCGGACTCCCCGGCATTGTTCTGTCAGTTTCAGTGCGATGGATTCGCAGGTGACCAACCGGTCCGCTGCGTGACACGGATGTGTGATCGAAATGATGACAGCTCCGGATCGAGTACGCATTCCTGGTGGTGGAGTTGGTGGTAATCTGGGCTGGAGGAGCGTCGGGAGTTATCTCAGCGGTGGTTTTGGGGACGGTTGTCGGGAGTTATCTCAAGGGCGGTTGGAGCGCGAGGAGTGGATTTCGTAGTCGCGGGGATTGTGACAGTGGAAATGGGTACTACTGGCGACGATGAGGGGCGGATTCTTGCATGGTGTATGTATTGGTGAGAAGATGAGTGAAGATGGAGTTTGGTCTGCGGCATTCTACAGTAGGAGGCGCATATGGCCGAGTAGGTCCATGGAGTGACGGAATGTCCGTGGGCACTGCGGAACTTGAGGCCTGTGCAACAGGCGTATTTTGGTCTCCTTGGCACTGTTCTGTCAGTTTCAGTGCGATGGATTCACAGGTGATTAACCAGTCTGCTGCGTGACACGAATGTGTGATGGAATTGATGGCAGTTCCGGGTCGAGTACGCATTACTGATGGTGGAGTAGGTGGTAATCTTGGCTGGAGGAGCGTCGGGAGTTATCTCAACGGTGGTTGGAGTGCGAGGAGTGGATTTCGTCGCCGCAGGGGCTGTGAAAGTGGAAATGGGGACTATGGGCGGCGATGACTGTGGTTGGGCTGCGTTAGTGTTATCGCTGATTACGATGGACGTCGTGAGGTGGATGCGATATTAGCTTACACGTCTCCTCTAACCTTTCAGCGGACGCTGGAGTTGTACACCGATTGACTACTTGCATTAAGTTCCGTCAGTCATCTGCCAAGAAACTTTCTGCTTTCGGTTAACCCTTACTATTGACGCCCTTCGTTTTGCAAATTTGTTTCTAAACAACACTCCAGAATGGATATAACTTATTCAAAACAATAACACCTTGTCACTAAGCTGAAGAACTGCGAGCACTTGCCTTCCCGCATGATGGAGAGTAGGCCCTCTTTTGACCCAAAATCCTCACTCCAACTGGGGGTTATCCTTAAAGAACTCTTGGACGCCGGGGGGCCCAGTTCATCAGCCAAACTCCAAGACCCTCAGAGGATTCCTAGTGTTTGATAATGGGGCAAAATAGCATAAAGAAAGCTCTTAGTTAAGGCATGCATTAAAGCCTAATTACCGATCCGGTTGCAGGTTCACCAAACCTGCAAATTTTTAAATACTACATATTACAGGGGAGGGGATGGTGAGTAGACGGAAAACGCGGAAGTTGAAAACTCTTTTACCATATGGAGTGGAGACCTAAGCAGTCCAAGCCACCCAGGCCATGCTACTTAATCACTTCCACTTCAAATACCTTCGCAGAATACAGAAGACGGATTCCCAGACACAGATACCCTTGAGCGAACCTGGGTGATCAGTTTCCACGCCATACTGAGACAAATAAACTAAGATGGGGCGGTCACGTCATGGGGATGAGTGACGAACGCTGACCTAAGCGACTCTTCTACAATGTCGTAGCTACCAGTACCCCGCGGCAAAAAGGTCGAAAACGACGTTACCAGGACTCTCTGAAGTCTTCCTTCACGCGCATCCGAATCAACCCGGCCAATCGGGAGAGTCTTACTTGGGATTGACAGGCATGGCGGGCAGTCATGAAGACTTGTCGCTTTTTAATTTCATCAGAAATTATCTACGAAGTTGGAGTAGATAAGTTTCTTCAAGATCTGTAGGCTCAGACCGAGAATTTAATACATGAATATTTGGGCCAAAGTCCATCAGCCACAGCGGGTAACCGTGTGATATTCATTAACTACCGAGAGGCAGCTAGTAGTATACTGTAGGGTAAGGTGATACCATACTAACCGCAGGGGTACTGGTCAAAAGCCCATGCACGCGTGTTTTGGCGATACTCTGCCGCTGCGTGGCGCAGCTACGAGGAGTTCGGGTCGTCAGTGGAGGGATCCACTTCTAAGAGGACATTCCGCGCATGGTTTGCCCTCGTGGGACATCTTAGGACCCAATGACGGCTCCGTCTACCGCCTCCGGAAACGTCCATACCACCAATACCCAACATTCGCGCCGCTGAAGACCCCGAACCCCCCCTTTCTCCGCCCCCAAACGCAACCCAGAGCAGTTCGTTGCTAATTCGCCATTCGCCAGCCGACCTCATCGAACATAAAACACACAAAATCTGCGTGGGTACCACCAGAGAATAGTGACCCAGAGGAAGCGCGGAATAGATCTCATGACTGAATTTATAACGGCCGGTGATGTGTGGCGAAAAGATGGTAGATGGAGAAAAGACAGGCGGGTGGAAGAAATAAGGAACATCATAAGAGCAAGCAAATGGGCTGGAAAAAATGACGTGCAAATACATACCCGGCAGAAATTTTAAATGCCAAAAAAATTATAGAGGCGAAGAAAGAAAAGACGGAATATCACCACAACGCCATGCCGTCGACAAACAAGAAAAAATTGGCACAGATAACGAAAATGTGCAAATCTTCATAGGACACGCGAGTCCGACGTCTCCGACTGATCAGACGGTCAATCTCAAGGGGGCGCTACAGCTGCAAGTCCATGCATTTTTCAATAGGCCCAGGGTGTCCTAATCAACTGACTTAAGTCGGTGACATAACGTAAAAATGACAAGCTGAAGGAAAGGAGATGAGAAAAAAAAGGAGGATAAATTTGACACAGTGAGGGCCAAATAGTTCCAACAAAAAGAAGGGGTAAAAATAGAGGGAAGATATCGTAAAGAAAAGTTTATTCGGAAGAATCATTCATAGAACTGCGAAGACACAAGGACACAACGATGGACATGGGTCTGCCAGAACCTGGGACGTGGCCATTATCCGGTTGTTCATGCTCCTGCTGGCTGTCATCCAGCGGTTTAGACTGTCTTCTGGACGTTGGCATGTCCGCCTTCTCCTGCTCCCCACTCAGTCTGTATCCAGGGGCTCCTTCAGTTGCAAGGTCATGAATGCTTTGGATAGACTCCAGCATGTCCACTGCCTCCTCGTCTGAGTGTAGGTCGGCGGTAGCGGGAACATGCAGCGGCAGGTGTGGCTCGGTGATCGATTTGTCGATGTTTGACTGGTCCGTCACCGTGGCATCTGCGACTGATGCGGCTGGGGCAGCGGTGGCGGGGGGGTCAAGCGTGGGGGCGGGAGCAGATCTGGCGACTGAATCTCTCTCCTCTTCCCTCATACTTGGAGTCTCCTCCACCGGCTTCTGCTCGCGATTCTTCTCCTCATCCTCCTGCTCTAGGGGTAGCGACTCCTCTATGCTCATGGGCATGATAGCATCTGGAACGTGGCCGGTATCTGCTTGCTCATTGTCCTGCTGGTCATCCAGTGGTTTTGACTGCCTTCTGGACGCAGGCATATCCGCCGTCGCCTGATTCTCATCCAGTCTGTCTAAAGGGGGCTCGTCAGCTAAAAGTCCGTGCAGGTTTTGGGTAGGCTCCAGCCTGTCCATTGCTTCCTCGTCTGAGTGTAGGTCGGCGGTGGCGGGAACATGTGGCGGCAGCTGTGGCTCGGTGACCGACATGTCGATTTTTGGCTCGTCCGTTGCCGTGGCATCTGCGGAGGTGGTTGAGACTGGAGCGGCTGAAACGGTGGAGACGGCAGCTGCAAAAATGCCGGGGGCAGATGTGGCAGCTGCATCTTCCCCCTCCGCCTTCATGCTTAGAGTCGCATTCGCCTGCTCCTGCTCACCCTCCTCCGTCTCCAGAGGCGGCGACTCCCCTTTGCTCATCGGTGTGGCAGCAGCTCGGACGTGACCGGTATCAGATTTATCATCCACATGGTGGTCATCCAGTAGTTTTGACTGTATTCCGGACGCAGGCACATCCACATTCGTCAGCTCCTCACTCAGTCTGTCCCCGGAGGGAGCTTCCTTTGCAAAATCATGAATGCTTTGGATAGACTCCAGCCTGTCCACTGCTTCCCCGTCTGAATTTAATTCGGCGATATTGGGTGTTTGTGGTGGTGGCAGCAACAGCGGCTTCGGCGGCGGCGGCGGCGGCGGCGGCAGCAGTGGCTCGGTGATCGACCTGTCGATGTTTGACTCATCCGTCACCGTGGCATCTGCGACTAATGCGGCTGAGGCTGCGGCGTCGACGGCGGCGGTGGGGACGGGGGCAAGCGTGGTGGCGGGGGCAGATCTGACTACTGCATCTCTATCCTCTTCTCTCATGCTTGGAATCTCCTCCGCCTGCTTCTGCTCGCGCTTCTCCTCCTCCCCCTCTAGAGCCATCGACTCCTCTATTCTTATAGGTATGATAACATCTGGGACGTGGCCAGTATCCGCTTGTTCAGACTCATGGTGGTAATCCGGTGGTTTTGACTGTCTTCTGAACGCAGGCATGTCCACCTTTTCCTGCTCCCAACTCAGTCTGTCTGAAGGGGTCTCGTCAGCTGCAAGTCCATGCCTGTTTTGGATAGACTCCAGACTGTCCAAGGCTTCCTCCTCTGAATGTAGGTCCGCGGTAGCGGGAACATGTGGCTGCAGCTGTGGCTCGATGATCGACCTGTCGATGTTTGACTCATCCGTCACCGTGGCATCTGCGAATAATGCGGCTGAGGCTGCGGCGTCGACGGCGGCGGTGGGGACGGGGGCAAGCGTGGTGGCGGGGGCAGATCTGACTACTGCATCTCTATCCTCCTCTCTCATGCTTGGAATCTCCTCCGCCTGCTTCTGCTCGCGCTTCTCCTCCTCCCCCTCTAGAGCCATCGACTCCTCTATTCTTATAGGTATGATAACATCTGGGACGTGGCCAGTATCCGCTTGTTCAGACTCATGGTGGTAATCCGGTGGTTTTGACTGTCTTCTGGATGCAAGCATGTCCGCCTCTTCCTGTTCCCAACTCAGTCTGTTTGAAGGGGGCTCGTCAACTGCAGGTCCATGCCTGGTTTGAATAGGCTCCAGCCTGTCCACTGCTTCCTGGTCTGAGTGTAGGTCGGCGGTAGCGGGAACATATGGCGGCAGCTGTGGCTCGATGATCGACACGTTGATATTCGACTGGTCCGTCACTGTGACATCTTCGGGTGTGGTAGAGACTAGAGAGGCTGAAACGGCGGAGGCGGCGGCAGGAATGCCGGGGACAGTTGTGGCTGCTGTATCTTCATCATCCACTATCCTGCCTGGAGTCTCCTTTGTCTGCTCCTGTTTACTCTCCTCCGTCTGCAGTGGCGGCAACTCCTCTATGCTCACGGGCATGATAGCATCTGGAACGTAGTCGGTATCAGCTTGCTCATCAACGTGATGGTGATCCCGCGATTTCGACTGTCTTCTGGACGCAGGCATGTCCGCCGTCGCCTGCTGGTCCCTCAGTCTGACTCTAGGGAGCTCTTCGTTTACAAGGACACGAATGCTTTGGATAGACTCCTCGTCTAAGTGTACATCGGTGGGAGATGGTGCTTGTGGCGGCGGCGGCTGCCGCAGGGGCATCTGTGCCACCGGCATCGATCCTTCGATGTGTGACTCGTCACTTAACGTGGCTGCGGCTGCGGATGCTGCTACATAGTTGGCAGCAGCGTCTTCCTCCTCCACTCTCATGCTTGGAGTCGCATCCGCCTGCTTCTGCGCACCCTCCCTCGTCTCTAGAAGCGGCGGCTCATCGATACTCATAGGAATGATTGCATCTGGGACTTGACCGTTATCTGTTTGCTCAGCCTCGTGGTGGTCATCCAGTGGTTGCGACTGTCTTCTGGACGCAGGCACATCCACCTTCGTCTGCTCCTCACTCAGTCTGTCTGAAGGGGGCCCTCCACTTTCAAGGTCATGTATACTTTGGACAGGCTCCAGCCTGTCGACTACCTCCTCGTCTGAATGTATGTCGGCGATATAGGGAGCTTGTGGTGGTGGCAGCAACAGCGGCAGCGGCGTCGGCGTCGGCGTCGGCGACGGCAGCTGAGGCTCGATGATCGATCTGTCAATGTTTGACTCGTCCGTCACCGTGGCATCTGCGGCTAATGCAGCTGAGGCTGCGGCGTCGACGACGGCGGCGGGGGCAGGGGTAAGCGTGGTGGCGTGAGCAGATGTGACGGTCGCATCTCTACCCTCTTCCCTCATACTGGGAGTCTCCTCCGCATGTTTCTGCTGGCGCTTCTCCTCCTCCTCCTCCTCCTCCTCCTCCTCCTCTTCTAGCGGCAGCGACTCTTCTATGCTCATAGGTAGAATTGCATCTGGAACGTAGCCGGTATCCGCTTGCTCAGCCTCGTGGTGCTTGTCATCCAGCGGTTTTGACACAGACACGTCCACCTCCTCCTGCTCCTCACTCAGTTTGTATGAAGGGGGCTCGTCAGCTGAAAGTCCATGCATGTTTTGGATAGGCTCTAGCCTGTTTATTGCTTCCTCGTCTGAGTGTAGGTCGGCGGTAACGGGAACATGTGGCGGCAGTTGTGGCTCGATGATCGACATGCTGATGTTCGACTCGTCCGCCACCGTGCCGTGCTCGGGGGTGGTTGTGTCTGGAGCGGCTGAAACGACGGAAGCGGCGGCAGGAATGTCGGGGGCAAATGTGGCAGCTGCATCTTCATCCGCCACTCTCATGCTTGGAGTGTCCGTTGTCAGCTCCTGTACACCCTCCTTCGTCTCCAGAGGCGGCAACTTCTCTACGCTTATGGGCATGATTGCATCTGGAACGTGGCCGGTATCCGCTTGCTCATCACCCTGCTGGTCATCCAGTGGTTTTGACTGTCTTCTAGACGCAGGCACATCCACCTCCTCCTGCGCCTCACTCAGTCTGTCTCCAGGGAACTCTTCAGTTCCAAGGTCATGAATGCTTTGGATAGGCTCCAGCCTGTCCACTGCTTCCTCGTCTGAGTGTAAGTCGGCTATCCTGGAATATTTTGGTGGCGGCAGAAGCCTCGGCAACTCTGGCACGGCGATCGACCGGTCGATGTTCTGCTCGACTGTCACCGTGACATCTGAGGCGGCGGCGGTTGAGATTCCAGCAGCTGAATTGGCGTCGACTTTGGTAGCTGCATCTTGATCCCCTGCACTCATGCTTGGAATATACACCGCCCGCTCAGGCTCTCCGTCCTCTGTCATCAGAGGCGGCGTCTCCCCTTTGCTCATAGGTGTGACAGCAACTGGGACGTCGTCGGTATCAGTTTTATCATCCACATGGACGGCATCCAGTAGTTTTGACTGTCTTCCGGACGCAGGCACGTCCGCCTTCTCCTGCTCCTCACTCTGTTTGTCTCCGGAGGAAGCTTCATTTGCAAGTTCATGAGTGCTTTGGATAGACTCCAGCCTGTCCACTGCTTCCTCGTCTGACTGTAAGTCGGCGATATTGGGAGCTTGTGGTGGCAGCAACAGCGACGGCGGCGGCGTCGGCGGCAGCTGTGGCTCTGTGATGGGCCTGTCGATGTTTGACTGGTCTGGCAAAGTTTCTGCGCCGGCTGTTGCGCCTGGAGCGGCTGAGGTGGCGTAGACGTAGACGGGTGCTACGCTGGCGGATGTATCTTCGTCTTTATGCCCCGTCCCCCTCATGCTTGATGCCTCCTTCACCTGCTCCTGCTCTGTCTCCTTCTTGTCCTTGTCCACCTCCTCCTCCTTCACCTCCTGTCTTGTGTTCTTTTCGTGTGGTCCGTTTTCATTCTCTGTTCTCTCTTGATTTGTTGTCTCTAGTTGTCTTCCTTCTTCCTTTCGATTTCTTTCGCATTCTTCCTCATTATCTGTCGATATGGATATATCGTACTCGTACTCGCTTTCCTCGTATTCGTCTCCAAAATCATAGTCGCTTATTTCTATTGATGTTTCCTCTTTCTCCTCGTTCTCCCCAATACTTTCCTTCCTGATGTTTTCTTTCGTTTTATCGATGCTGCTTCTCCTGGCCTTCGCGGCATTTTCATTCAGTTCGTTTGCTGGTTTTGAAATATTATACGCCTCTCCCCATTGATATCCTGCACCCCTTACTCTTATCTCGCGTATTGTGGTGGTTTGCTCGTCAACGTCGCTTGTATCTTCCACAATGCTTACCTCTTCCTGCTGATAATCTGGAATATCAGAGATGCTTTCGTCTGAAGTCTTCCGCCCTCTCATTTGTGCCCTCTCACTTGCCGAAATACTCGTACTCTCCACCTGAGCGGTTGACTGTGAAATCTTGGGCACGAACTGACTTCCGGTGGTTGTTCGCCTTGGAAATGGTCCCCATTGATTCCGGCCATCGGATGGATTTCCTGGCTCCAGCGAGGGATGTGTTGGCGAATATCGTGAGTAAAATTCCTCCATTTACCCGTCACGTGCAACAGGAGTATTTCTCCCCTATGTGATTCAGCCTTTCGACAGCCGAGTAATCTTCAAATGATAGGTTCTCTTGGATGTTTTGGGTCTCGACGATTAGGCAAGTCACCGTCCAATCTGACAGCACCACGCTGCGGAGTCGATGTACTTATTCGGCGTATGTGCTTTCTTGCGCGAAAGTGAATTCTGGCGGCTCGGGTGTCACGAGTACTTTTGTTTATCTGGGCCTTCAAATCCAAATTATACTTTAGGTACTTTAAGGAAGACTTTGTTTGGCCTAGTATCAGGTGTTTAGTCTGCGTCATCCTTTTCAGCTCTTCACTTGAGCAATTTTTACGCACGGATCACGCGAACTAGCCGCTGGTGGCACATGCTCTGAAGAGTTGCTTAGCGGCACCACATCATCTGCATTGCAATTCATTTCATTCCTAGCAAGGAATGCATTTGTGCTTAGTCAGAGAGCCGGAGTCCACTCATAGCGCACTTCTGAATGAACCGAGCCCTACCTCATATTAACTGAATGACCTCGAAGGGCTCAGATTTAGTCTCGCCCTGTCCTCTGTCAGAGGACTAGTTACCATCTTGCTGAGCCCTCCTCAGTGCCTCCTCAATGCCCCGCTCCCAACATACCCGCGCTGCCAACGCGCATTCCGCGCACGAATCGGTCTCGTAGGACACCCTGGGATTCGATGAATCATTTACCCGACAACACCTATCTCTTCTCCCGGCCTCGCCCCTACTGCAATTCAAGCGCCGATCGCCACACCCGTCACCACCAATCACACTATAGCCGCCCCCCGACGGCACACTTCATTGGCAATTTCCACCCCGAGCAAATCCCAGCATGGACCACCACCACCACCACCACCACCACCACCGCC